TGAGTAAAACATAGTCTACTATTTCTAGTTTTCGTTGCCTTTTCTCCTTTTACTTTTTTTTTGTTTATTTTTATTACCTTCTATCCTTCCTTTATTGTGAGTGTTCACAGCCTTGGGTAACAAGAATTGATTTTATTCCTATTTGCCCATAAATGTTGTAATCCTGCCTGCCAGTTCTTGCTTAATGTAGAAACCAAGCAAAGGTTCTGCTTATGCTGGGCTTCATTTCCAGTCATCTGACACCACTCAGCATTCAGGCCATCACTGCTGCTCCCACAGAACCTTCTGCCCATACACAGTCTCCCTCTTATCTCCAGCTCTGGGAGCTCCGGGGCAAAGAAAGAGAAGGAAACCAATGTCTTGACTTTCTGAATTGCTTAGAATCTCAGATTTCTCAGAGCCTTTGGAGGACATCTCAAAGAGACCCTGAATCTAGTACACCCTCTGAAGCTCAAAGGCAAGGGTTAGCATGAGAGGAATCTGCATGGAGAAACGGGCTTCCTAGGAAAAGGCCTCTTCTTTTGTTTAATTAACTGGTGGAGTCATCCTCCTCCAGAAAGGCGTACACTTAGACTAGAAGAATTGGGTCCCCTGGAGCACTGGAAATCTTAATTAAGATTGTTTCTCACTTAGACCAGCTCGTTTCAGATTTTACTGGAAAGCTCTATACTGCCTCATCCCAGTTCTCCGAATAGAGTCTTGAAATGTATTTGAAGTGACTAGTGTTGAAAACCACCATCAATCAAGGCTGTGGATACCCAAGCTGAGATAGACTTTGTGTCTGCAGCTGGCTGGTAGTCTCACCGGCAATCCTCTAGTTATCCTGCTGAGGTGACTTGTTCTCATTCATGATGACCTACAGACTCCTGGGTTACAATCTTCGTAATGTTTATTGGCAAATTTTAGAGCAAAAATGTGAGTATAGGATATCACACCTCATAGGTCACTTTAGCTGCACAAATAATATAGGGATGACATTTTTTTGGTTTAAATCATGCCACATTTATATGACTCAGAAATTATGATAAAGTGAAGAATCATGGTGTAATGGCAGTCACCACAAGATAATTCATCTTCTTGGCCAATTTTTGAGTACTTGTAACTACTAATGAAATGCATGCAAAAGCAAAGGATAAGTGGGTTGGAAAAGTGGCAGGATGGATGACACAGATGATTACCTGTGCATACACATGTGTGTATGCATGCTGAGTTTTATAAAATAGTATCTGATCTTGTCTATTGAAAATAATTCCAGGGAGGTGCATTGCTAAAATGTGTTTCCATTTTGAATTTGTATTGGTGGCAGAATTCAAGTGCCAGTCTTGCAGTTTTCTTTCATTGATTCTTTTGTGTTGTCGTTCCCTTTCTGTTTGAACCCTTCAGTTCCCTATGGCAAAAGCCTGGAATTTATGCCTGTGGAAAAGCAAGCTGTGATACAGATTGAAGGCTCATTAAAAATATTACAATGTTCATGTTTTCAACACCCCAGAAGGATTTACAGCCTTGCTCTCCTCAACCTGAGGGTGTATGGCTTCCACACTGTTCTTTCTGGGTGTAAAGTTTGCCTTTCCTTTAACTTGGCTTTCTTACTCACAGGTCAAAGTTCTAATATCTCAGATTTAACTTTTTATTCAAAATATGTATAAATACATCAGCCTATGTAAGCAGTTTATGGAATGTGCTCCAAAGCTCTTTTAATTTCAATGTAATAGCTGGTTTTTTAATTGGTAGTATTGATGTTTGAACTAGAGGCTGTGTTTTGACTCAGGCCTTTTAGTTTCAGCTTGTTTTGTTTTGTTTTTGAATTAGGAGCTTGTCTCCTGCCCTGGTGTGCACCTGGACCACGACTTGCCTATTTTAGGCTTCCATCACCAGTGCCTGACACTGCATCCACTGGACTTTTCTGATCTAGCTGACCTGGAAGCTCGATCCTCCTAATCTTGGCCTCCCATGTAGCTTAGGATGAAAGGCACATGTTGCTATACCCAATTGTAGGTTGAGAGGGGTATCACAAATTTTTCTTCCCCAGCTGGCCTTGAACTTTGATTTTTAGGATTACAGGCATGAGCTGCCATCACCTGGCTAATAATTGATTTTTATTACAAAAGAAAAAGACAACTGGATACTTTTCATAGCCATAAAGATAAAAACATTAGCTTATGGTTAAACTGCAATTTTATCAGCATTTGCCTGCAGATAAAGTCCAAATAGGTAGTTCTCTGGTAAATCCAATATTTTTTTTCTGTGTTCCCACTATGTGGAAATAATTATGCTAAGCACCTTCATGAATAAAGAGATGAGGTGTAGCTCCAAGAGAGACATACCAGCCAGAAATCATAGCATATCCTAGAATCAAACTGTTGCCACAGTAAAAAGAAATGGAGCAATTATGCCAAAAAGCAGAGAAATTTCTTTTGAATCAGGACAGCTATGAATTGTTTTAACAGTGAAAAGAAAGGTATTTCAGACAGAGAGATCTATAATCCCCATCGCTTGTTTCAGTTAATGATCACTTTGTAAGAATAAATTTATCAGCTTAACCTTGGCTTCTGACAAGTACTTTAAGCAATGAATTTTATTTCTTTTGTTTATATCAATAAAGAAATAAGAACAAAGAAGGGAAAGAAGGGAAAGGTGATAGAAGAGCAGAAAGAGGAGGGTAAGGAGGGAAGGAGGAGCAGTCTTTTAAGATCTGGCTTTGTCTTAAACTTACTTTTGTACAAGAGTACAGTGATCTAAAGCAGTCAGGCTTTGTTAATCAATTACATTGTTGCTAAATCTGTAAAATTTCTAGTGAATATTTTGTACCTTGTATCTTAGGTTTCATATTGAAATGCATGCGTTCAACTTCAGTACTTAGAATAAGTGAAAACGTGATCTTACTGTCATGGAAAAAAAGTATGTTTTAAGCAGTACTCTGGCTCTCTATTCTGTTTGCTTGAGCCATTTATTTTTCATTCCCCTTTAAAGTTTCTATTTAAACACACCTCTTTGTCATATGCCGATAAATATTAAAATAACAGGAAAAATCTGCCTGACTTATTTAAGCTGATAATAAGAACAAAACACGGGATGTGTGGCTCCTCCTTCCTTTTCTGACTGTGGTTAACTGTTAAGGGAGATTTTGAAACCCATAATTACGTAATAATTGGTACCACTACAGTCTCTTCCCAATAAAAAGCCAGGATTTTTGTAGTTTGCCACAAAGACAGACAAAAACAAATTGCCTAAGTGTTATTGTCATTTCTTTACTCCATTGTTTAAAAAAATAGCAAAAGAAACTCTAGTTGGCAAGCTGTAGCTACTATGCCAATAATCACAAAATGATCTTTGCAACCGACTCTTAGCTAAGGATTTAATTTATAGATCCACAAATATCACACACATTCTCCTAATATGTGTCAGAATTTTTTTAAGAAATAGAAAAATATAGTCTAATTATTCCAATGAGTATCAAAAACATCTTAGTTAATTTGGCAAACCCAAAGGTTAGCAATGGTCCCTCTCTTGTGGGCCATCAAGATAAAATAAAAGTTTCAAAACCCTCTCCTTTGATCTCCAGGTATGCAACACTAGTTATATGTTAAGCCAGTCTATTTCTTTTTATAAAATTTCTAAAGGAAACAGTACATCCAGCACCCAGGTTTTTGAAGTCTATAGAGTATTATTTACTTCTTATTTCATATCATAGAGCTTTGGAGTAAACTCACCTTTATTTAATGTCTTTCTTTTATTTTTATTCCTGTTTTCAGTTTTATACATACATTTTTAAAAGCATATACCATAAATACTTCAGAAGCCAATGAGCCAAAGGAATCCACTGCCTTTATTCCCTTCTTTTAGAAGTTAGGTTTTTATAGCACTTCTATGATACTTAGGGTCAGAATAGGAACAGAACACAACATCCAAGTAAGGAAGATCATAAGAATAAAGAGATGAGAGCAGCTCTTCTGGAAATAGAAATTGTATGGATAGTGTTAGTTGTCAGGTGGTTTAGGTATGAGAGTACATCTTAATTGTTTCCCTTGTTGTTTTGCTGAAGCCTACACTAGAGTAATCGGTTAGGTTCAAGGGAAAGACTTCCATTTTGCTTTTTTTTTTTTAGGGGGGGGTCCGGTTGTGGGGCCTGAACTCTTGGCCTGGGAGCTGTCCCTCAGCTTTTCAGCTCAAGGCTAGCGCTCTACCACTTGAGCCACAGCGCCACTTCCGGCTTTTTTTTCTTTTTGCTTATGTGGTGCTGAGGAATCGAACCCAGGGCCTCATGCATTCAAGGCAAGCATTCTACCACTGAGCCACCTTCCCAGCCCCATTTGGCTTTTTTTTAAAGGGCATCTACCTGGTTGTATTTTAAGCAAGAAGAATGTGCCTTGAACACACACATTCTTATGATTTTCCTTCAAGATGGCCTTTCCTTTCAGCAGCTCTCACTCCTACAGAAAAAGCGGATCTACTCTTCTGGAAGCTGAGAGGTAAGGTTTTTTAACACACACACACACAAAACACCCTGAAGGAACAACGTTGGATGACTTCCAATAGAAATGATTTGTAACTTGGAAAGAACCTTTGGCTTCACACCTGGCAAGGATATAGATTCAAGTGGGATCTGGAGGTGACGCTAAGAGGGAAACCACTAACAGGCCCCTGGGAGCCTCGGGGCCAAGGTGCACACCTTGAGGGTCTTTGAGGTTAGCTTTCCTGGAGTTCACTGGAGCCAGTAAGCTGAAGTCAAGTTGTACTCTCAACAGATTTCTGCCTCAGGCTCCTGATCAGAACCATCAGTACCACTTGTTCATTGGATTCTCAAATTATTTACTATTGCTTGTAATTTGTCCTCTCAGTGAAACAAAGTGAAGCACCAAGCACCTTGAAAAAAGTCCCCAAGAGACATATGTGAGAACCACAGCAGGCAAAGGAATGCTGCGTTATTTGGCAGTTTGGTTGTGAATAAGTGACACATGTGTAGTTTGAAACACTGAAAAAGATCTCAGGGCATAGCCTACCTTGCAGGTTGACTCTGGAGACAGAAGGCTGACTAGCCGCTGGGGACCTCCTGTGGGGGACAGGAAAAGAAGGCCTGAGTTGGTGCATTAACGCCTCCCACCCCTAGAATCCCTGAGGAGTTTTCCAGGTCATAATGAGCAATTAAGTGACATAATGCTATCTCCGGAAGGCAGGCTCCTGTAACATGGGTAGATGACTACAATTCTCTCACATCCAGATGGCCTGGAATTTCCCTTTGCTCTGTTCAGGATGCTCCAACCTGCCAGGAAGGAAGTTGTTTACTCCAGGTCCCTAGGCAGCCCCTATGTTTTAGGTTTTGCAGCCCCAGAAGTCTCCCAGAAGAGGAGATGCTTATGCTTAGGCATCACTCCACATGTCCGAGTAAATTCCCATTCCTTTGATAGAATTGTAGAAAGTTAAATGCAAAGGAACTGTTGGAGATCTGTCAGTTCAGGAAACTGAAATTCAGAGGTGAAGTCACTTGCCAAAGGTCACACAGCTAGTGGCAACAGTAATCCAGTTTGCTTAAGCTAGGGAACTGTCATGACAGGGGGGAAGTGCGGAGTCACTCTTCCTTAGAGCAAGAAAACAAACTCATGTTCCATTAATACCGAGCCTCCTCTTCTTTTTCTTTCTTATTTGCTTTTCTTCCTCTCTATCCTTACTCTAATTGTGCAGTCTCACCATCCTTCTCGTGTGTGTGTCTGTATTTGTGTGTGCGCATGCACACATGCACACACATGCACCATTACTGGCTTTGAACTCAGGGCCTGGGTGTTGTCCCTTAGCTTTTGTGCTCAAGGCTGTACCACCAGAACCATGTTATTCTTTTAATACTCTTTGCAAGACTTTCTCCACCAAATGCTCCCAGATTCCTAGTGAAAACTCTAGGAAGACTTCCTGGAAAAGAGAGAACAAAGACATTAAACTTGAGGGTGCATCAGGATCCCCAAGAGGAGCCTTATTAAAAAATCTTTTTGAGGGCTGGGAAGGTGGCTCAGTGGTAGAGTGCTTGCCTTGCATGCCTGAGGCCCTGGGTTCGATTCCTCAGCACCACATAAGCAAAAAGAAAAAAGCCGGAAGTGGCGCTGTGGATCAAGTGGTAGAGCATTAGCCTTGAGCTGAAGAGCTGAGGGACAGCGCCCAGGCCCAGAGTTCAGGCCCCACGACCAGACCCCCTCCCAAAAAAATCTTTTTGAATCTTCTCTCTCTAGCTTCTGATTCAGTGGTTCTGGTTGTATTTTAGAGTTTGCATTGCTCACAAGTTTCCTCGTGTAGCCATGCTGCTAGTCAGGTGACCTCATCTTTACAACGATAGGTGCTATTGATTCTCAGTCCCGCTGAGCACCAGCACTGGCAATGAGCAAGAAAGTAGTTACTGAGCATGTGTGAGCATCAGGTACATGCAGTGAGCTCCATTTTCTTTTTTCTTTTTCTCAGTCACTGAGAGCATCTTTCAATACGTACATACATACATACATATATATATCCAGCATGAGGCCTGAGAGTATATACATATGTATATATATGTACATATCTACACATATATACATACATATGTATTTCTCCAAGAATTTCCCTACACAAGCAAGTTTGAGAAAAAAGTCACATAACTAGCAGAGAAAGACCTTCATCATGTTGCTAAGGAAGTATCTTCATACTGGTTTGATCACGTAGATTATTTTCCTTAGTTTTCACATGCTGCAAGTGAATCTCTGGTGGATTAGGGATGACCTAGCTTCTATGCAATCATACATTGTGGCTTCAGAGTCTATTGAAAGGATCTTAGACAGTGCTAATTTATTAGCTGGGTGATCCTAGACAAAGGCACCTGACTCCAAAGCATCAAAGTTTTCTATGTGACAAGAGGAGAGAAATTATCATCCAGAGATATTTCTCTGGGAGACACAGTACTAAGGTAATTCTTAGCTTTCCCTGAGAGTATTATCATTAAATTTTAAAGATAAAATACTGACGCTTACAGAAGTTAAGAAACATACTGAAACATACTTGGTTTCTCGCTGGCATGGCAGGATCCAAAGCCAAATTTTTCTGAATCAGAGTGTAAGCTCTTTCACTATATCATCAGCTGGCAACACCTGCATTAATGTTGAGGGCTGTTTTTCAGGAAAATTGAGAGATTAAATTCTAAACTCCTTGGCATGGAATAAAAAGTCTTTTGCTCTTCTGGCTTCAACATACTTTTTCCCGCTTATCTCTCAGGATTTCTCCTCTGCACCTGACACATCATCTCAAACTACCGACTGGCTTGTGCTTTTGTGCAGCTTGTGTTTTTCCTTTGTAGAACTTCAAAACCGTAATTGAAATAGGCACTGTCAACTGGGTGCCAGTACTCATGTCTGTAATCCTAGCTACTCAGGAAGTAGAGATCTGAGAATTGTGGTTCAAAGGCAGCCAGGAGAAAAGTGCATGAGACTCTTATCTCCAATTAATCACCAAAAAGCTGGAAGTGAAACTGTAGCTCAAGTGTTATTGCGCTAGTTTTGAGAAAAATACTCAGGAGTAGCACCCAAGCCCTGAGTACAAGCCCCAGGACTAGCACACACACACACACACACACACACACACAAACACACAGCACTATCTAATTAGTCTCTGTGTAGTATATGAATTCTTGGATTAAAATTAAACTTTTTGTAGGTAGGGAACAATTTATGGGATCCCATCCATAATAGCCTCTTGTATACCAACTGCTCAGTAATACACATTGAGTGGAAAGATGAAGACCTAAGTGGCTAGTTGAATGGATGAATGGATGGATGAATGATGGATGGTAGGATAGATGGGTTAAGGAATGGATATATGAATGAAAGAACTGACGTAGGGCTTACCAAGCCTAAACACAATCATTCCTTTTGTCTTGAGCATGTGTTGTTCCTTTTGTGTCATTTCTCAGGTGATTCCTCAGTCAGAGAAGTTCTGTGCACACTAAATCTCCTCTACCCTTCCAAGGCAAAATATCTTTTCCAATGAATACTACCTACTTAGCTGAAACAGTCCCTTCTCTACTCTCCAATGGTGTTTTATCTCTATCTTTAGGGTTACTTCCTCATCTTAATGAGGATGAGAACATATTATCTCTACCACTCATCTGCAATTTATTCCCTTCAAGATGCTCTTTGGCTCCTTTTCCTTCTGTCTTACCAATGAATTTCCTATGAAATACTGAAAATTCCAAAAAATGCTGATGGGTTGTTAAGTAGATGAACTATTGATGTGAAAGTGATGTGAGGAACCAAGTACTCTCTTGGAATGTTTTGCCTGGCTTTCTGTTCACAAAATCTTTGTGTGTGTGCTAGTAGTGGAGCTTCAGAACATTTGTTCATGCTTGGATTTTTCACCTAAGGTTGACACTATGTCACCTGACCCATACTTCCACTTTGGGCTTTGTGTTGGTTAACTGGAAATAAGAGTCTCATGGACTTTCTGTCTGGGCTGGCTTCAAAATATGATTCTCAGATCTCAGCCTCCTGAGTAACTAGGATTAGAGATGTGAACAACCATCACCTGGTGTTTTTATGGTCTTAAGTCTACATGCTACCTACCATTGCTATGTCTTTGCAGAGATTTGCTAGGTAATACTCGTCTCCTCCTCCTTTACCAGCCTCCATTTTAACCTCTTTTTACGTATGTTGGGACTATACTAAGGTATCTCCTGCTAAGGTGAGCCTTCTGTCCTGTGCCTGGCCCTCTTTGCCTGTGCTGTTGTCTCCTCTGCCCACCCTCATTGCATTGCACATATTGTATTGCAATTCACATCTTTCTATGTGTCTCCTCCTAACTCACCTGGGAGAAATAAAAGCAAAGGCTGAATCTCCTTCTCCGTTGCATCCCTGCACTCCCACATAATATTTTGTATGACTCAGGCATTCAAAGCATGTTCATTGAATTCATAGAATGCTTTTAATAACTTTATCCCATATCTACTGCTAAGTTCCAAAGAAGGCTTTTTGTTAAGGAGCCATTTAACTATGTGATCCTAAATGTTGGAAATCTCTCCTTTCTTAATAACATGACTATTTGCAGGACTTCATTCCTTCTGTGATTTCTGGAAGTTGGACATAATACAAAAATTCTATTTTCCTGGATGTCATTTGTAACTATATGGCCTTTATTTAGAGTTGCTAATTAAGACCAAGCATCTCTGTATGGAAGCTTCAAAAGGCAGAAACCATGTTTGTTTGGGCTATCTTTTATTCTTGATCCCCAGTACAAAGAAGAGACTCCATACATTTTAAATGAATAAATAACTCTAGAAGGCATGGTATGTAAAGCATGAGGCTGCAAGTTAGAAAAAAGTGATGACTGTGAGGGAAAAATGATATTGGGGAAAATTATATTGCTTGCCCAGTTTCCAATGGTCCTTAATGTATGACACAATAATAAGAGGAAACTGGATGTTCGAGATGGGGGAGGGGGAGTTGAAGGGCAGGGGATAGGGCCACAGCAGTTAATACTTCCCAGAGCAGAGAGAGAACTGGGCTATGAATAAGAAGATAAGAATCCTCTGCCTGGCTCTGGCACCTTCCAACTATGTAGCCCTCGGCAACTCACAGAACCACTCCGTTTCTTCCTCACTTGAGGTGAGCCGATGGCAACTAACATTTACGGCTGATTTACAATGTGCTAGGTCCTGCGTGAGGGGTTTTCCATATATTTCCTCTCTTACTCTAAGGAAATTTGGCTAGGGTTTTTTTTTCCAGCTCTGAATGCTCAAGATTTTATGATTCTCAGCTAATTTAAACCCCATGCCAAAGTATATACAGCAGTGAAAGAGATTTCAGGTATATATTTTAAAAAGCGGTTACTAATTATTTCTCAAAGATTACATTCATTTTGACTGAACCATGCTTTGGAAGAATGTTAATGCAGTGATGGTATGTGATTTCCTGGTAGCCACACATGACATACCATTATGTTAGTGACAGGGATTATGATGAAGGAGACCACTTTGCTCCAAACTCCATTCTTGAATTTCAGACTACTGGCTAATGGACACTCATCCACACACCATTATTACTCTACATTATGGTGGAGCAATACATTAATCTGTTGGTTTATTGTAAGTTAGCAAATGCTTTAGGGGAGCTTATCTGTATTAACAATCCCAAATGAAAGCCACATTTTTTTTCAAAATTAGCTCCTGGGACAAAGGAAATGTAGGTTTTAATTTGTAGCCAAGAAATACAGGCTCAATCAAGCATACCTCAATGGGACATTTCATGAAAGTGCAAAGAAATCACCTCCACAGGAACTCTGAGATTTTTCACCCTTTGGGTGCCAAAGCTCAGGCAAACAATGGACCACTTTTATGCAGCACAGAGAGCCAAAAGATAAAAGGAACCCCAACTTGTGAGAGGCGTAGTTCAATGTGGGAGTTCTTTTTCATATAATAAACCACACTAACCAGATGTCTCATGAAAACTACTCCAAGGACATAATTATTGCTTAAATGTTACATTCAAGGCAGGGAGTGGCACTCTGGAACCAAAGTTAAATATCCAAGAAAACAACGTCTGAATTCCATAAATCTTCCAGTTTCAGTGTTAATGTAAGTGAATATGTGTGTGGGAGATGAAGAGATGCTCTTTGCATGCTGTATCCACTCCTGGCTGCAAATTTTCCTTTCGGAGCCTTCTCTGGATTTTCTTTAGTTGTTTGAGAATATTGAACATAACACAAATAGAATGGGGTGTATTACATGGACCCTCAGATTTCCACAGACTATTCCACCTATAGCTGAAACCCATTAATTGATTGAGACCCAGGTCTCCCTCCTTGGGCTACGCTGAGACAATCTTAACTCAGTTTGATGAAGCACAAGAGGGAATTAGGCTGCCTTAAAATTTTGTTGTTTGGTATTGGTTATACAAAAAAATGCTTGAAATAGACATCAGGCTCAACTCTGTACACATGTGGATATGTGTTTGTGGAAGAAGCGTACATGTCTTGTTGCTAGAGACACATTCTCCTTATTTAGTGTGGCACAAAGGGCCATACTAAATTTGAAGGATTCTCAGGTAGACTTGAAAATGGGTCAGTTCTGTGTATGGGAACAATAAGCTCAAGGTACTTAGTTCCTGAACGTTTATGTGGCCTGGAACCCCACAGGCTTATTGAGAAAGTGGTTTAAGCTGACATAGGTTATTAATCACCAGGGTAGTAGACGCCCAACTACTGCTAACAGAGGAGAAAGCCCCAAGGCCACGGTAGCAAATAGAAAAACTAATGCCTACTTCTTGTAGCTATGTAATGTAGCCCTTGTGAGTCCAGTTGTACTAAAGAAGCCTTTAAAATGTGTCCTTTTTCATCCTTTCCTCCATTTTTTCCCATCTATATTATTCTGTCCCAGAGTGTCATCCTCATGTGTGAAGTCCTCAAGATACTGCTTTAGCAAATGTCTCCAGCTTGCTGTCCTCTATTACACAAGTTCTTCCTAAGTATCTTTCTCTTCTAAAAGTTTCCAGGAACATCTCCCATAATTTAGGGGAACTCTGCAGGTACAGTCAATGAGAACACTGTACTGCAAGACAGGACACCAGGCTCCATGTATGGCTGTTGTTGTCTAGAACTGTGTGGTCCTGTGTAAGTCATGTACTCTTCTGAAGCTTTGTTTCCTTATCCAGAGAGTGGAGATGACAATAACAGTCATGAGCATTTTTTAAAAATCACTATTTGTAGAGTGTGAACTATGTGACATTCTACTACTTAAAAATTCAAAGAAAAACCAACACAAGTTTAGGCATCAGGGGCACACAGTCTACGATGGCAGAATTCCAAAAAGGGAATGATAAGGATCTGTATGATGGTAGCTATCACCTTAGTTACTTGGGAGGCTGTGATTGGGAAGTTTATAGTTTTTGTTTATAATTTCAACCCTGGGAAGAAAAGTCAACAAGTCTACTCCATCTAAGTGGAAGAGGCTGGCTGTGGTGGCACATTCCCTATCATTTCAGCTACGGTGAGAGGCCAAAAATATATGCATCATGGTCCAGGTGCACACTTGACCAGGAATCAAGAAAGACCCTATCTCAAAAACTAACGCCAAAGAGCCAAACAGAGCTAGAGACGTGGCTCAACAGTAGAGCACCTGCTTGGCAAGTGGGATGCTTTTAGTTCAAACACAAGTACCCACTTTAAAAAAGAAAAAAAAAGCGTGAAAAGGTATTGAAAGTGCCTTGGAGCCAAATGAGAGCAATTCAGCTAGGTGTAATAGGTCAGAGAAAGATACCTCAGGAAGACAGAAGAGGCTTCTAATTATTAAGGATGGGGAAGGGGAACATAGAGGGAGCCTGTAGACCACAATTGTCGACCATAGTCCCATGTGGCTACAGTCCTGGTCTGATTATTTACCACATCATCTCTAGGAACTTCATATTAAATGCCTTAATGCAGAGGACCTTTATGTTTTGATCATTGTTGTATCATCAGTGCTAAGTACGAAACAGGTGCACAGTAAGTATTTGATAATGTACATGTACGCCTATGCATGAATGAATAGTATATACAAAATAAATATTGGATCCCAGAATCATGGATTCTACAGTTTCCTAAGCCTGAGGTAACCTTTTAAAACACGCAGTAGAGTGGAGTGCACAGAAGTTCAGTTAGGCTCATAGATTTTGAGGAGAAAGTTACTGTAGGAAAAAGCAAATTCAATTCCTTCATTTTACATGTGAGAAGACCCAGGATCAAAGATGTAAATTGAAGTGATCCAGGTCATATATTCATTTGGTGGCAGAGAAGAATGAAACTTCATAAACCTGTTTTTATATCATTTGAAAACAGTCTGTATGGACTGTTTCATAACCTTTGAGTTTGAATTTCTGGAATAATTGATAACTTACTGAAAAAGAATTTAAATAACCTTTATGGCCATTTTGGATAGAGAGTCAAACAAAAATATCATTATTTCATTTGTTGAGACCCTATGGTATACTGTGCTAAGGGTACAAAATTAATAACACACAGACCTGATAATTTTTCATGTTTTACCAATTTTAAATATATTGCTCCATTGGATTTTCAAATTTCCTTGTGTAGCCTAATTTATCTTGGGTACTATTTCTCTGTGCAATAGTTACTTTTAAACATGATGTGCAGTGTTTTCTGCTTTTCTGGAAGGGATTTGTGAGTGTACACAGTCAACTTACTTGTTGGATGTTCCGTGAAGATTTGTGAGTAGAGTGAAGTTGTTCCTCACACTTCTCAAGCTGGCGAGGACCTAGGAGAAGATTTCAGAAGATTGGTAGAGACAAATGCTCATGCTTAGAAGTCACATTTAGAACATCTCATGAGTGAGAGCAAGCCAGGACAAGCAGAATACATACCTGGGCGAAAGGAGTGACGATCAAGTCATCACCGTGTCTAGTGAAAAAGAGGAAAAAAAAAGCATTAAAAGTGTAATATTACCCTTGTCAGTAGAAGTAAAGCAAATGTCCTATCAATTCTGTGTGCATAGATGGCAGAATTTCCAATTGGGCAGAAATTGAGATCCCACGGGATCTCAAAGAAAGAAGGAAAGAAAGGAACACACACACACACACACACACACACACACACACACACACACACACACACACACACACCCCCCCCCCCCCAACTGTATCAATCAGCAGGTTCATGGATTCTAGATTTACAGGGATTCCACATATAAGCCTTTGCAAGTAAGCATGTATCCTCAGGGTGTAGTTCCATTAAATAGCAGCCCAGAGTACTGTAATTCAAAGCAACTTGTGGATTTTGGTTACTATAGCCAGGAAATTCAAAGAGGGAGCTGTTCTTCACAGACACACAGTGTTGGAAAAAAGGTATAACAGGCTGGATAAAGGTTAACTTTGAATTTCCTGGCTTTTGTTGATTTGAACCACAGCTTTAACGGCATTTAAACAGAAATTCCTCTCTGGGAATCCCATTACTTTTTTTGTTTTTAATATACTTTTTTTTCTCCTTAAAAATACCCAAGGAAAAGGTTTGAATGGGTCAGACCAAACCTACAAAAATGATAACATTGTCCTTCATTTGGGACAAAACCTAATTATGCCATCCTTAATGTATTGCAATTTTAAGACTGTATTATCTCTCTGGCACTCGTTTTTAATAAATCAACATAACATTCCTTAGCAAGGTTTTAAAGCTATAAAAAGATATGCTGGCCTGGGCTGCAGTCACAAACTCAGACCAATTCATTGTTATGATGTGGATAGCAGCACAGGAGCTGGTGATGCTAAGCTCCCCTGATTGTCTATTCTAAACTCCTCTGTCCTCACTAGCACCACACAAAGACAACACCTAATTCAGTAGCTCCATGACAGCAATCTGCCTGGTACCAGGACCTGAGTGAGAACTGAGGATCCAGAGCTGAACAGCATATACACCCACCTGGGCCTCTGTAGCATACACTTTTAACATGGTATCCTATTTCATATGCTACTTTCCTCCTTTGTCTTTAATTAGAAGTCTCATCAAGGTTAACTAGAAATGTTCTGTATATTCACTTTATATCACACACACACACACACACACACATACACACACACCATACCACACACCACACACACAAAGAACAATTACAAAATGACCCAAAGAGTAATTACACAATTTCCATGAGTGATTATTCACGTCAGGCCTTTTATGTGCATTATCTCATTTAACTTTTGTAACAAAGTTAAGAGGCAAGTACTCGTCCCATTTTCATGTTTGATGTGACATCAGGATGCAGTGCCACTAAACAGTTGCTTAGCTAGCACCCCATAAGTGTATGGAAGAACTATCTGATTCCCCAAATCTGTGCTTATAAATACCATGCTTCTCATTTTATGATCTTGCACAGCTGTCATATCAAATTGTACAGAATTGTACAGAATCCCTCAAATTAAAACAAAATGTGAGAGTGAAAAGTATTTTTAATATACTTTTATTGCTGTACAAAAGGTTTGTTCAGAGAGGTTACCATTTTACAGTTCAGATAATATGAACATTTCTTTTAGGGATAAGCAGTCCCTGACCACTGAAAAGCGTTTTTTTAAAAAAAAAGAACTATAAATTTAGATATAAATATAGAATGAGAAATTTAAAAAACATAGATAATTAATATAATTTCTTCTCTCCCAAGAATCCTAAGCTTGGGGTCAATATCTATTCATACCATCACCTTATGAATCTATCTGCTATTATTGCCTTAACCATCTCCTAAATCTGTAGCTTGAATGCCCTTATTTCATGCTTCATGTCTCCATCTAGATACCAATGGTTATCTTACTGTCAACATGTACCCCAAGAACTCAACAGCACCTTAAAACTTCTCCAACATCTTCTTGCTTTCTTATGTGTCCTCATGACTTTTTTCCTAGATACTTCCTATTAAATTTTAAATAGTCTATTCGGATGCTGAGATATGAGGATCATGGTTCAAAGCTAGCTCAGGCAGAAAAGTATATGAGACTCTTATCTCTGCTTTAAACAAAACAAAACAAAACAAAACAAAAATCAGGTAGACATGGAGCTGTGGCAAAAGTGGTAGAGTGCTAGCCTTGAACAAAAGAAGCTCAGGGACAGTGCCCAGGACCTGTGTTCAAGACCCAGGACCAGAACCAACAAAATAAATAAATAATGGATGAATTTATCATAATTTCCTAAACTAAAAACAATTCAGGAACCAGGCTAGATATGCACAACTATTGCACGAGTACCCTCTAGTGACCAAAGCAGTACATTACAGGATGAATACAGAGTACAACTGAGAATACTAGTCATAGAACTGAGTCTTGGACTCTTGGAATTGAGGTGTGGGTGTGAATTAGAAAATGATATAATTATCTAGAAAGCAAAAAAATGCTGCTTCTAACGATTACAGTCTGAACTCTATTAATTAATTTCACTTCACTGTTTCCTCTTTAAACGCAGAAATTGTACATGGACTCCCTTGTAATTGATTTTAGTCTGTCTTATATAGTGGTGGACACTAGTGGACAGATATTGGACAGTATCAGTTGGTTGTCAAATGCAGTATTATTAGTTGTGAGTTATTAGGCAAGTTATTAGGCAATCTTTCCATATCTTGATTTTTGCATCTGTAAAATGGGGTTCCTATAATGAGCTATTATACTTGTACAATTTTAATAAGTTTTTGTTTCATAAAACATTTATTTAGTGAAAGTTATTCTTAGCAGGTACCAGTGGCTCATGCCTGTAATCCTATTTACTCAGAAGACTGAGATCTGAGGATTGTGGTTCAAAGCCAGCTGGGACAGAGAAGTCCATGAGACTCTTATTTCCAATAAATCACTCAGAAAAAGCCTGAAGTGGCATCGTGGCTCAAGTGGTAGAGTGCTAGCCTTGGGCACAAAGAGGCTCAGGGACAGAGCTGAGGCCCTGAGTTCAAACCTCAGGATCAACAAAAAAAAAAAAAGCTATTCTTATTAGAAGGAGGTATCTTTGTTATTAAAATGAAAGAGCTGAATGCCTTTCTTCCCAGCTGTTCAGGGTGTACTTAAGTTGTCAATGCCTTCCTCTATTGTAGTCTAATAAATTCACCTTCCATTGCACACTAGTTTACATAGTGCTTCCACAGACATTATTTCATGTGATGAAAGCAAGTTCCTGATCTCAGGGAAATGATGCAATTGCCTATCTTATTGGCCAAGCTTGAAACTTCCCTTTTCCTTACTTCACATTAACCACCAACCCCTGTTGATTTGGCAAATATTTATGAATCTCCCACTAAACCTACTCAGATGTGGTTTGCCATCGTCTATTATATGTATTACCAAAGCAGCCTCCCATCTGGTTCTTTAAGCTTTTCCATTCTCCAAATCTTACTTCACACTGCAATTAGAGCCATCTGTCACAAACAAACATCTGATCATGTATCTTCCTTCCTAAAATTAAGGCCTGTACTAGCTCCCCACAGTTTGTGTTCAGCATAAAGAACAATTCCTGGGCCTTTAATGACAAGGTTCTTGTTTCTTCTCTTTCACCACTTCCCTAACCCTCCTGTTGGCTGTTTCAGCCATACTGAGCAGGGCCTCCCACAGTGCCGGCCAGAACTAGAGAGTTAGTTATCACACTGGCCTTCCCTCTTATGTACCTTTCTGCCCCTATTAAAACCACTTACTGACTTGCCAAATCTTTAGCTCCTTTGAAGGCACAGTCAAGAACCTATTTAGATGAATCCTTATTAAAAGATAAAATGAATATGATCCTTTTAGGAGCTGGAAAGGCAGACAAGCAGAAATTAACATCATTATTTTTATTTTTCAGCCCCATGCAGAATTGATATACTGGATATTCTCAAAAGCTTATCTGCTTGTACTCTTTGAGTTCAAACTCTGTTTCCCTAATGCCCTCCTCTTTAAAGGAGATTATAGTACCTACCACCCTGAGGATATAAAGATTAGATGAATTGATATATGGAAAGTACTTTAAGTATTACATATTTGAGAACTGTGTGGTTTTCCTGACAGATAATTTAGATCATAAAAAGATCCAATGTGTTTAACATTTATAGTACTAGTAAGAGGAATGGATGTAAGTCAGAGTACTTTTTGGTAGTCAATTAATAAACAGGTCTTAAATTTGAGTGAACTCTTATTTGTACTTTTTTATATTGGTCCTTAGGTCTCATTTCCCCTGACAACCCTTTCTGGAAACCTCTTAGTCTCCATGTAAATGTTAGCATTCAAAAACTGTCTGTGGAAGGCTTTGCAAATGATGTGACCATATGGAAAAAACATGGTGGCTACTGCTCTGTGGCTTGGTAGGTCCATAATCAAAGCTGATTCTTGTACAGAGCAGTTCTTGCAACACTTTGGGCAATAAAATTACCCTTGTCAATTTCCAATACTTTAATACTCCACTGTAAAATGTGTACCTCAACCTGAGATGGGGTTACAATAGAGTTGACTATAATCCAAAAACAGAATAGCACAAACAGATTATTGTCACCTCCAGGAAAGCATCTGTTGTTTCTTTGGGGACTCTGTGAAGACTTTGTTTTTCTTTACTAGAAGTCTTTACTTCTACCTCTCTTTTTTAATCTTCCAATCGTTTTTTCCCCAATTAATAACCTTTGCCTAGTCTCCCTACCTATAATTTTCTCCCATTTTTTGAGAGAATTTGGACAAGAAATGCTTAAAAACTAATGTTTCTTTCTATTATTAGGATTTAGTATAGCAGAATTGTATGAAGGCTCCCACTTATTATATAAATGCATTACTGTTGTGTGTTGAGTCTGAGGGATTTCTTTCTTTCTTTTTTTTCTTATTTTTGTTGGTCATGGGGCTTGAACTCTGGCCTTGGGCACTGTCCCTGTGCTCTTCAGCTCAAGGTAAGCACTCTACCACGTGAGCCACAGCTCCACTTACAGTTTTCTAGTGGTTTATTGGAGATAAGACTCTCACGGACTTTTCTGCCAGGCTGGCTTTGAACCTTGATCCTCAGATCTCAGCCTCCTGAGTAGTTAGGATTACAGGCATAAGTCACTGGTGGCGGCTTGTCTGAGGGATTTCTTAGCAGGGAAATTCCTGTAACTAGACATTTCAAGACTGACGCGTCATCTCCCTAGATCTATTGGAAGAAGGCAGATGGGGAGCTTAGGACGTTTTTGTTCTCTATTTTGGTTTATCCTGAGCTTTTTAGGGTGAAAGAGCTCCATAAATATTACTTCAGCTAAGATCCAGATGTATGTGTGGAACTGGATTTTCTGACATAGTCCTGATGAAATGAAATACCAGATGATTCTGTTTTCTTTCATATTGGTAAATATAAATTTCTAAGCTGGCAAGCATGAAAGTTTATCCTGTAATGTAAAATGTTTTCAAAGCGCAAGCTTGTGCTATTTTTATTCACAAATATTTTAATATATTCTGTTATCAACATAGTGTAATATTACATTGCCCATTTTGTATTCTTGGGCAAGACTCTCCTTTATTTTTACAGGAGTAGGATTTTCCTTCTTATTTAAAACTTCTTTCTCTTCACAATACTAGGTAAGTTATATATTCATTCTTACTTTCCTAAGTATAAGTTGGTGACATTCAATAGGTCTTAATGTTAGAAGAGAGAAATATTTTCTGGTCAGTAAATTGCAAAGAGAGAAGTTAGCAGTAACAGAGGTTCAGCATATAACACGCAGAACTACATCTTTCACCAGGTATACATTGTAATCTCTAAATTCTCTTTATGTTTAAAATCTTTACAAGCCTTTGATTCCAATTCAAGAAACAACAAAGTTTGCTCTGGAATCTGCTCAAAGTCTCCTTCAAAGGATCTGAAGAATCTGGAGATTCATCAAGCTGTTTAGAATGAGCTTGGAGAATTAGTAGCTGGAATGAGAATTAATTTGGAGAATGACTCACTTCTAAAGCTAGTCTTTTGTCTGCAAATTACCATGTGAATGAAGCTCAATTATTTTGAGTTTACCAAATTTCCTACATTCCTTCATGATGAACTCTAGAAAGCTTTTATGTTTTTATCTTGGTAGAGGAAAGAATTAGAATGATAGTCAAGCCAACTCAATATGGTTACTTCTCCTCTAGCCTCAGGTAGCCCTTACTCTGCATTGGTTTGTTTCCAGCCTGGTCATACCAATGCTATTCACAGTTAGAAGAATATAAACAAAGAGAAATCCAAAAGTTTTGAATATGCTCATCACTATGGTTTGGATCTGGATTCATTGTGTCCTCCAAGGAAGGATTCATGTGTTATAAATTTGGTCTTTAATGTGGTGATGTTGAGGTGATGGGACCGTTAAGGGGTGGAGCCTAGTGCCAGGTAGTTAGGTCATTGGAAGCATTTTGCACAGAAAAGATTAATGTAGGTCTTTTTATCATCTTAGAGAGAAAAGATTAATGTAGGTCTTTTAACGGGAGTTAGTTATCATTTTAGTGAGTTGTTATAAGGCAACATCATCCAGTTCACTTTGCCCTTCTGCGCATGGCTAGTTCCTTTTCTATTTTTCTGCCATCTATAAATGTAGACAGAGAGAAGAGCCATGATCCTTTGACCCTCCAACCACTGAAATCATCAAATAAACCTCTTTAATTATCAAGTACATAGTCTTATATATTTTGCTATAACAACAGAAAACAGACTAACACAATCATTGTTAGCTACAACATGGGATATAGCATGATCTTTAGTTATGAGATAGAAGCCAGTCTCTCAATGTCTCAGAGTCATTATCTAAAGAGTGGGGTAAATAGTGAACCCTACTGGACAGGATTCCTATGACAATTAACAGAGATAACTGATGTAAGGGAATGTGGTCTCATGATTCACATCCACTCTGTGGTTCTGTGTGTGTGTGTGTGTATGTTTAGCTGTGCTCTCCCCGAGACTAGAAACTTTGGGGGTATGAAATCTGTTTTAGACTCATCTGTTATTTTTCTATGGTTTTGTATGTCATCCATAGAACCTAGCATACTGCATGGTATATCAGAGAGTTTCAGTTCTTTCAAATGAATTTACAAAAAATGAACTTTGGTCCTCACAATGATTAAAATACATCTGGGGTAGTTCCATTAAATTTTTCTGGCAGAAATATCCTGGGCAATAATTCTTGCTGCTAGCTTTAAAATGCCCTCTGCCCCTTCACAAGAAGGCAGACCTTTGTGGCTTTCTTTCTAACAGAGGAAGAGAATCCTGTGGAATTTTCCAGGCTGTAGACGTTAAGGAGTTACTGATATTTTTTACAACATATGATGTTAAAAACACTTGTATGTGTGCCTGGAAACCTTTTAAAGCATAGATTTCAGCATCCAATTTTATTTAGTTTCAGAATTTAATAAATAGGCAATCCAGTAATTGTTAGCAACCTACATTTAATAGCAGCAAAACAAAAACATTATCTGTGCTGCCCAGGGCAAAGGAGTATATGTTGTTGTGTCTCATCAAGAATCCAGGAAAACAAGGGACTGTTGTGTGAATGTCCTCAAGAAGATACACAGGTTCATACTGAATAACACCTCAGCTAAATATCTAAGTGGGGACAAATGCTGATAACCAACTACCGTTCTCTGGTGGAGCGTCATACAAAATGCATGTGCAGCCAAAATTTCAAATGTGACCTGCAAAATATGTTCAGGTTTCCATCCTATAAATGATTCAGCAGTTTAAGAAATGAAGCCCAATGAATTTTTTTTATAATATCAATAACAGATGTGAACTGAGCATTGTGCTCAGTTAGCCCCCTTGGATAAAATCCAAGCTACAAAGCCACATGCTATAGAACAGTAATGTTCTTAAGATGGCCATCTTTGTCAACTCTGTTTCTGTTTACTTTTCTCCTTCCTATTCCCTTGGGTTAAAGGAGAGCCATTGATCTTGCTGTGACAGGGTTAAATGTGAAGAAAGTATGAGATTTAGCAGTTGGACAAGAAGAGTTGTACTCACTGCTCGCTTGGAAGTGATGAGTTTCTCGACATTGCCTTTGGTGACAAGTCATAGTCGCTGTCTGATCTGTAGAGAAAAGACTCTCTGCGCTGGCTGTGGCCGGGGAAGGTGGCATGAAGCACCAGCCCAGAAGACGAACTGGCCTGGGGATCCAGTGGGCTCCGACCTGGTGAAGGGCCATTTTCCACATCAAAGCTTGAGGAGAAAGCAGAGAACTCTTGTCACATGAGAATCACAGGTGGAAGACATCTAATACGCATCAAGGACCTATATATGGAATACTTTGTACCAGGAATATATAATAATGCTTTACACTTTACAGAAAGTTTTCATTCTCAAAATGGCTCTGAGTTATAGTCATTATAATTTCCATTTTGTAATGGGAAACTATGTCTTACAGAGACTGTTCAGACATTTATTTGAGCCTACCATTAGCAAAGCCAGAATTTAGTGCCAGGAACAAACACCAAGATTAGCAAGAGTGTATTTGACAAGTTCAGAATTGGAGCCAAGAGTAAAATAGTTTGGTGATAGTATCTCCAGTCAAAAACTGAAATATCATGAGAATGAGTATTCCTAACTGCAAGGATTTTTTTGCCACAAATAAATATGGTTTCATTAAAGATACAATACGCACATTTCTAAGTGTTTTGGGAACAAATGTTTATTCTGAATATATATATATATATATATATATATATGCTGTCTGAGTAGATGAGAAGTCTGACCTAAGACTTAATATTCATATTAAAGTTTAACCACAGAAATGATTTAATCTAGTAACACCAAATTCCTATAGAGCTTGGCTGTAGAGGATGATAACTTCACTAGCTCCACAGTGAGATCAGTGAGATTTCTGATCAGTCCTCACAGCTCTGGGAATTGCTATCAAGCCCAGAATTATTTGAGCCAGCTGGGATCAATGAACACACAAACAAGAGCACTGGAGATTTTGGTACATTTTCTCTCCCCATACTGGGTATTACCCTAAGTATTGTGTTCTTCTCACGTTTGTCCATATACGTTTTCCTATACATATAACTTCACTTACCCTCAAATGATAGTAACAACCTTTCTCTAGAACACCCACCGCTGTCTAGCTGAAGCTTTACAACGTGAAAGGGTATGAGGCAAGGATGCCCTTTGCCCTTTTTCCCCAGGTTAGACCATAATCGTTGGCTTCTCTTATACTCACACATCTGCCATAACTTAAGTTCTTGGTTCTTTTCTTCCACTAATTCTAACAATGATGTTCTCTTCAGATATATTTTGATTATATAGAAAGAGAGAGAAAGGAGAGAAAATAGAGCATATATATATATATATATATATATAAAGGGAAAGCAGATACACATATATAGGTATATATACATATATGTCTAGACATATATATACATATATGTCTATACATATATATACATATATGTATACATGTATACACATATATTTATATATGTATATATACATATGTATACTTATATATGTATATATGTCTAGACATATATATATACATATATGTATACATGTATACACATATATTTGTATATGTATATATACATATGTATACTTATATATATATATGTATATGTATACACACCACACACACATGTTGACAAGGTATTTTCTGACATATTATTTCATCTGACCCTAACAATTCTGTAAAATATATAATTCTATCCTACTTCTATCCCACTCTTCAATTTTGGTAAACAAGGTTTAGGAGATGAATAGACCCTGATTATTAAAGTAACAGGCCATAAGAATAGTTTTACTACCCTTTTATATGATGCAGGAGATGTACTGAAAACTCCTATCTACAAAAACAGGTAGACAATTCCAGATCTCCATATATTGTACTTTATCCCTGTACATATATTCTGGTGATAAGTTTAATTTATAAGTTCGACATGGTAAGAGATAAGCAACTCATAACAATGATAAAATATACTATGATAAGTTATTTAAAACTTATGAAATCCTTATTTCTGGAATTTTCCACAGCATTGTTGAACCACAGTTGACCACAGGTAACCAAAACTGCACAAAATGAGGATGCAGGGAAGGGGAACAACTGTAGATGGAGTCTTGGAAGACCTGAGTCTTCCAACACAATTCTTCATAACCTGAGATTTTGGTAATCACACAGTTCCAGTAGGATCCACTGGGCAATGAACTGTGAATTCCTTTCACTGTCTAGATCCAGAGACTCTCTGGGTTAAAGGACAAGAAAAAGCTACAGCAACCCAATAGGTATTTGGGTTTTCAAGTTGCCACCTATGAATTTCCTCCCCAAGCCAATGACATGGGATAGGCTCTTAAAAGGTTGTAGACAGGCAGCCAAAGCGATGTCTCATAAGCTTGCTCGAGGTAAAGTTAGGTTGTAAGCCACATACATTACAGCAGATAAAAACATAATGAAACAAACTACAACCTTCCCTTGGGTGAGATCTGTATTAGTTGCAGAGCAAAATGAAGAGAACCTTTGTGGAGAAGAGTTCTTTCATGCCACCTGAATCTTGTAGAGCTGGTAGGCCCAGATGCTGTCTCTGAACCCTTTTTAAGGACATGGAGTGCAAGTTCTTAAAAGGTGCAAGTGGGATTACTCGAACTCTAACAGTGATCACAAGCTTTGAAAGTTCTTGGGTATTCTTGTATCTGGTATGTATCTGTACAGACTTCTGGATATTAAAGCAACAAAATATTTTTTAAGTCATTGGCATCCAGCCACTGCCCCAGGCCCTCCAGGATGGGATGGTGAGCCAGTAACTAAAGGTTTGGTGTTTGGAACAACAGGGGATCTTGAGCTCCAGCATGATGGCCTGAGTCCATTTACTTGGTTCATGTGGTACTAGTCATTAAATGTTATGAATATCACTGCTGTGTGTATCTGCACTAACATCTTAGAAGAGGTGCCAAGTGGATATGCCCACCCAGCTCTCAGAACTTTTTCCCTTGGGTGTACCATCAGAGCTCACTTTGCCCTCTTTTCTTCTAGAAGCATTCCTAGTGGGCAGAGGGTAAGTCCACAAAACTCTAGTCTAAAATTGAGGTTCAGAGGGCATTCTGTTCCTAGTTTTAATACCTAAGATATTCACTAGTGTCAGCACAGCTGACACCCAGACTCTCTTTATATATTTGTCTTTGATTTTTTTTTCTTTCTTCAGTGCTATACTCACAAGAGAGCTTGATGGAATTTAGAAGAAGACAGGGGAGAATTCTCTGATGCAAAGAAGCAGTCTCAGACAAATGGCCTTTCATATTCCCTGGGGGCAGAGTTTCAAAGCAACCAACACAGATGTACAACTTTGGAACAAACATGAATCACCAACCAGACACCAGCCCCAGTCACAGCAAAATTAACAGGCAGACATCACAATACTGCCCACACATCTAGGGAGCAAGGGGGGAGCCGGGTGTATGGGTAAGGAGGAGGCTGTAGACAGGCTTAACAAGCAAGTCGAATATACCACACAAACTGAAATACAATTCGGAAGGAAAGTTAATCTACAGTGGCCACATAAAGAGGGTCATTATTTAGGTAGGGTAATTAGGATAATTTTTGTCTATGGCTTATCAGGGTATATATTTTATCTTTATGCTTCTTTAGATTAAAAAAGTAATTATAAAAGTAATATAAGGATGTTCGATAACATATATACAAAGTAGAAAAGAATAGCATTATTGTTAGTATTTTTCCATCTGGATTTTATTTTCTCCCACATATTTGGATCTTGAATTATCACAAGATTTTCCCATGTCCTAAAGCTTTTTAAAATGATTATTTTTCCAGAGGGTACTTATCAGTTCATCCAGCAGCTGAACCACAATTCTCTTAACATTTCCCCCTTACCTCTGGCCATTGTATACACATTTCATACAGGTACCAAGAGATTGCCATTTACAAGTTTCTGACTATGACTGGGACATACACCTGCCTGGAAGCAATGGTCCATATCCAATATGCAGATTGAAGCAATGTTAATGCATTCTTTCTTCTGGTCTGAGACCCCTCCTTCTACTCTGCCCTCTGAGACTTTATATTACGCTTCTCTGCTTGGATCTGTCTGCTTCTCCCCTTGCCTCCACTGACCTCTGAGCATCGAATTGATGGTTTGTTGTCTAAAACTTTAGATTTATATGTACCTTTTTTTCCAGCCCACTGGGGCCAGGTTAGCAACTGATGCCCTGTTTTGTATTTTGTGCAGTGATGCTCCCTGCAACTGGAGTGGCCTTCCCAGTGCTGTGGCTATTAAGCCATAATCTCCGAACTTCAGCTCAGATCATCTGGTTCTCCAGATGTATTTAGAAACATGATCCTCCTTGGCACATCCCCATGTCATTTTTACCATGCAATTATCCCCCAGTATTTGCAGGAGTCTGGTTCCAGTACATGCTTACATATCCATAGCTGCAGATGCTCAAGCTCCTTACATGAAATCACTCAGCATTTGCATACACCCCACACATCACCTCCTGCACATATTAAATCATTTCTATATTCCTATAAATAGCAACTCAAGGTAAATATTGCTTTGCTATATTCTTTAAGGAAAGATATTTAAATAGAGTGGGCATAGGGTCTGTATGTACTGATACATTATTTTTTCACGTATTTTCTGTCTGTGCTTGATTGCATCCACTGAAACCATGGGTACAGAAGATACTGACAACGTTAGATTAAACTCTAGCTTTCGACTTCTCTGTAATTCCCCACTTGTTTAGCTGCTTCCCAAGATATTATTATATTATTCATTTGTGTATCCCAGGAATCTGGGACAGAGCCTTCTAAAGAGAGAGCTTTCAAAACTGTCCAGGGAACCAGTTAAAGAATGATGTAAGTTGCTGTGAGATATGTGCCTTCTCTTCAACCCTTTATGTCTCCAGCCTTCACCTCAGTTCCCACCACCACAGATGTCTGGTGTTTCCTCCAAATGAGTCTGTAGAGATGTGACTTTAACTTCTTTGATCAGCATTGTGAAGCAATGGCCTAAAAATAGTTTTTGAAAAGCACAGCTGTGCTCGGCCCAAGCAAAACAAACCTGCCTAGAGATATGGTAGCCTAGATGATGACAATTCTGACAGCTGAACACCAGCCACTCGTAGAGGAATCGTCCCATGAACCCATTTCAGCTTGCCTTCTTTTTATCTTTTTTTTTTAACATAAAAGAAAAGATAGCCTTTGCCCACGCCTTCTA